TGTTGTGTAGCAGCAGTGATTTAGTTTCTGCAAATCACAGTCACAAATAAACAAAAAGAATAATTTCTTATTGTAGTTACTTATGTTCTTACACATTACTTAAATGAATGTGGTACTTTTACTTCAGTAGAAATACAAATAAATAGATAAAAATGAACTAAGTAAATTGTTACATCAATCCTTCATCTTATATTAAAATTTTTTTTTGACTTGTTAGCTTTTCTTTGTTTTTTTTCTTTAGGCAGCCCGACTTTCTCCTACCCCACAACTCCCACCAACAACACCCCCCCACAACAACCAAGACTACAAGTGAAAGCAGGTGAGATCAACACCTACTTTCTCAATCAGCTTCTCACCAGTAGCAACAGGGTTTTCATCATTTTCTGCCAAAACCAAAACAGTTTGTTATTTGAAAAGCGATATGAGAGTTTTTCGTCTTCACGCACCAATCAGGATTCAGCAACATTTAAATGTTGTGATCAAACCTGATGAAGTGAATTTATTGTCACCGGTTTCCTCTCTTCACGCTTCAGATGTTAACAGTTCCCCCGAAAACATTTCCACTCTAAACTTCTGAAGTGGCTTCACTTACAAAACAGTCTGAGTTCAAATTATCCAATATTTCACATTTCTGTAGCAGAGCCGTGTCTTTTCTTCCCTATATCTCATTAATCATCACATGACCCCTCAGGTTTATCTTGAGATCCTGTGGAGGGGCCTCAACCATGGGAACCACATCACCTCAATTTATACACAGTAATCAGAAATATCTGCACCTGGATCAACCACAATTATAAAATACTTTAAAAGTATTTCTGTATTTTCACTGAAGTACAACTTTGACTACTTGTACTCGTAATGGGAAATTTTGTTGTTTGGAAATATGTTCTACTATTTGTACTTTTACTTGGATAAAGAATCTATTATTTCTTCTACTGCTCATTACATGACACAAAACAAATGGAAAAAAGTCACATTTATTTATATTTTGATTTAAACGTGTGCTTCTGGGTTTGAATCAAAGCTTAGATTCACGCACGAATATACAGCACAACTTCAGGTTTTGAAAAGATGCATTAAGGAAATGTTACATCATTTCAAGAGTGTAAAAGGTTTCGTGCCACAACTCTTTAGTGAACAAAAAACTTTGACGAGTTCAAAATTCAACAGCCAGTTTCAGACAGGAAACAGCTGCACCGGCACAGGAAGTTGGGGGGGGGGCGGGTATCGGTCCAGCTCCTGGGACACAATTCACAATCTTGTGGAGAAACAGAGGTGGCTTGAACTAATAAAAAAATATGCTCACCCAAGAAACTGAGGGTCATCCTTAGACCTCCACAGACTTATCATGTCCATTTACTGCCTTCCTTCCTACTAAAGCCGTCCTGTCCCACTGTCCACTTCAAAGCCTTTTTAAACCGTGTGTTATCTGTGTGTGTGTGTGTGTGCAGAAAGCGGGTTTGATGAGATCAGCCGCAGAAACAGCTGGCCAGCTAACACCATGACAGCAGTGCCCAAAGGTAACACAACAAAAACCGAGGAGGACACGGAACACAGACCATGATGATGAATTTTTTCAAGCATGAACAAATGTCAGGTTTCGCTTCGGAATTGACTGAAAACCAAAAAGAAGCTCCAGCTGAAGATCAAACCATTTCTTTAATTCTTTTTTTCTAGGTTCCTCCATGGAGCACCAACACGGCACAAGAGTTACAGACCCAGCTCCAAGAATTGTGCAAGGTATGAAGGAACCTTGCACCAGACACTGTCATATTCAAATTTAAGAGGGGTCTTAATTGCAAACCAAAGTTTGTAATCTGGGTATTGGAAAGATAAAAAAATCACCTGAGTTGTTACTATAGATCCAGGGGTAGGGAATTAACGTCTGAGCCACATTTCTTGGAAGTACAACAATATTGTTGAGATATTTTAGTATCTGAACGACCCAACACACATTTGTAGCTCCATGCGGCTGGCATGGTTAAAATGGCTGCACGATAAGACAGACTATTTGTTTTGACCTCATAATCAGGACTAATGGCCACTTTGTTTTTCTTTATTCATTCAGACTCACATTGTGTTTTTGGTGGTGGGGCGGGGGGGAGGTGGGGAAGCAGTGAGTAACATTTCTGTCCCTCTGTGACTATTAATGAGCACGATACCAGACACACAAATAACGAAACTTAATGTGACGTGTCACTTTTATCAAGTCTTGACAAAACTTAAATTTTAGGGTGAATTAGTAAAAATTGTATCTGCAAGAGACAATATGTAAAACTAATAACACTTTTTCTTTTTTCCAGACCCATATCAAACACTAGGGCCCATCAGCAGTCGACTAGCCAACCCAGGTAAGAACCATAACCAAAAACAAGACAAGCCAACAAACAAGATGACACAAATGAGGCCTTTACACTGTCTGCTTTGGCAACATGGGAGAGAAAAGCGAGCAAGGGCTGGCACACACCAACTTTCCAAAATGAAGTAAACTTCAAGCAACACCTGTTGTGTCAGCAAAAGTTGCATCATGTTGCACTGAGATAAAATCCGGCTTCCCTCCCGACCAAAAAAATGACTGTTTGCCCTGCTGTTTCCTCACAGAAGGCCAAGCCCTCAGCTCATCCAAGAACCGAACGGGTAAACAAAGTCCGTACAAGCTCCCTGACCCCAGCGCTCACAGGCCTGTGGGTAGGTTTCTGCCCTGCCGTCTCACACGTCCTCCAAGCCACACAGTGAAAAGGTCACATTTGATTTAAAAATAAATAAACTGGGATGTCATATCAATGTTAGGAAATCAATGCAAGCACAAAGAAAACTAGAATATCACTCAGTAGAGCAAACACCTTCCTGACCCATATTACATCCTTCCAAGTTCCGTGATAATCTGTCAAGCGGTATAATCCTGCTAACAAACAAACACAGACAGGAAGATGACCTGCGGAGGAATACATCAATACATCAAAAACAGAACATCAATGAGCTGTTTAAAACTAAAGCTATTCAAAACGCTCATGTTAATTTTAAAGGCTCCCAATTTTAAAAACTTGATATTTTCACACAGATGACAACATCCTGCAAAATGTTCCAATATGAGCAAGAAGAACAGACAAACATTTCACACAGCAACATCAGCTAACTGCACATTTTCTGTCTTGATTTATCCACTTTACTCTTCCTCTCCCCCCCCCAAGGTTCGGGGCAGATCCAGTTGTGGCAGTTCCTGCTGGAGCTGCTGTCCGACAGCAACAACGCCGGCATCATCACCTGGGAGGGCACCAACGGCGAGTTCAAGATGACCGACCCCGATGAGGTGGCCAAGCGCTGGGGCGAGCGAAAGAGCAAGCCCAACATGAACTACGACAAGCTAAGCCGCGCCCTGCGCTACTACTACGACAAGAACATCATGACCAAGGTGCATGGCAAGCGCTACGCCTACAAGTTTGACTTCCAGGGCATCTCGCAGGCGCACCAGAACCACGCGGCCGACAGCGGGATTAAGTACCAGACGGATATGTCTTACGTTCAACCCTACCACAGCCACCAGCCTAAAATGAACTTCATGGGTGGACACCCGGCACCAATGCCCGTCTCCCCCGGCAACTTTTTTGGCCCCCCGTCGACGTACTGGAACTCCCCCAATAGCCCCATCTATCCAGGGTCAGCCATGACCAGACATCCCGCCACTCACTCCCACCTGAGCTCGTACTACTGAGGACAGGGCGTTTCACACCTGACAGGGAAAACATGGGAGAGGACAACATGTTCACGTCTTCCAGGATGAGCTGAACCCCGTCTGAAATGAAGGTGATATGACGCTGCAGTCTGCTTTATGAGGGCATTATGAAGTTGTCTTTGTCACATTCTTTCTTGAAAATGGACAAACCATGAGGGTAAATTAATTCTGTGATGAATGTAAAGGATTAATATCGTACTCCTCGTCGAGTTTTCTTTTCTAAATACACTGAAGACAATATATTAACGGTTATACAGTTGTTATGATACCAAGTGTTTTTTAAAATTTGTACATTGTTTGATAGTAAACTGTTGTAAAGACACAAGTCAAACCCTTAACTGTGTGAGTAGCACAATGGATAGCATCCCTGCAGTTTTCACATTCAATGTGACTGACATTTGTAAAAGAGAAGTTGTACAGAATGATTCTCATGTAGCAATGTAACATTTACTCAAGATGTAAAGCTAATAAATGATGCTTGTACCTGAAAGTCGACTCCTGTGACCATTAACATTCACAGATTATGGAAAGAAAAATGTTTCTGTCTTTCATTAAATTGGCAAAATACCATTTTTTCCAAGTTTCGGAAATATGCTTATTTGTTTTTTTCTCATTGTGGCCTCTGAGGATTCAGAATCAAGACACCACTCATCTCTCTGTTCTGTGTAAGGCTACAGCCAGCAGCAGTTAGCTTAGCATAATGACAAAATCAGCACCTTTAAAGTTCATTAGTTATTAACACACTATTTCAATTCATTGATTAATCCAGGAAATATAAATGCTAAGACAACTGTAGCTTTAGTTTCAAGACTGCCACCTAGAGCCTGGCTGCAGTATAGGTCATAAACCCTGCCTCCTCCATGTTAGCGGATGGGACATTGACACCCCCCCCCCCCCGATCGCTACTGATCCACACGTTGGCTGCATTTAAATCCGGGATATTTCAGCTTAATTTCTGGATCGTGAGATGAAGTGGAGACGCATCATCTACCTTTAAATACAGTCGATGTTATGTATGAACAGATCAAAGTTTGGTTTACATCTTCTCAACTAACTCACTCTCTCTCTCTCTAAATAAAGAGAAGATAATTTCTTGAAACATTGAACTATTCATTTAAAGAGATGAGGCTATGTGGAATATTACAATAAGTTTGCATCACAAAAATGATTGTGCAGAAAACATCGGCACCTAACACACTTCCATAGACTCTATAGATTTTTGCTTTTAGCTCACTAGGTGTAATGAAGCCACGCGTGCTGATCTTATCACTGTTCAAATGTCGGCTTTATTTCCCAAAATCAAAGACTTCTTCAAATATTCTGCGCGATTCCTTGACCTCCTCCTGCTTCTCCTCCTCCTCCTCCTCCACAACAGCAGAGCCCTTCATCACCTGCCTCTCCTCACCTTCCATCTCAACCCACGTCACTCCTCCACCTCCAAAGGGCCACTCCTTCACCTTGTTCTCCACCTTACCCATCTGAGTCCCTGCTTTCTCTTCCATCTGTGGCGTTGTGCTCCCTTCAGTCATGTTTCTGGTCGTCTCTGGCTGCAGTTCTGCTGCTGCTGTTGTTGTTATTGTTGTTGTTGTGGTGGTGGTGGTGGAAACCCTCTTCCTCTTCGGGGTAATCGTAGGTTTCACTTTAGGCTCTATTGTCCACGGTTTGCTGCTGATTATTTTGGTCTCTGGAAAATGTTGATTTGCAATTAGAATATAATCAAATCACACAAAATAGACAGCTTAACTAATTGTAGATATTCCAAGATGCATTACAAAATATAAAAGCAGCTTTGGAACTTGGTCCCTTGGTCACACACTCACAGACACACAAACACACACAATTTTAGTTGTGCATAATCTTTCCAACCAACTGACAAACAAATGCAGATGAAAAGATAACTTCCTTGGTGGTGCTAATACGAGAAATAAGCTGCTCCAGGCTTTAAATAAAAAGGTACCGTCAACTTTTGTTCGTTGTTTTGGTATTTTCATGAGATTTATAGACAGATTATCTCCAGACTTCTCCAGTTATAGTTTTACTGCGGACAATGTGAGAATCGATGTCTCACCTGGAGATGCAGCAGAGCGGCAGTTGGAGTCGCAGCAGGTGCAAACCGAGTCTGATCCATACAGTTCAACCCATCTGAGGAAAACAGTGATGAGAAGCTGATTGCCTTTTATTTCAACTTTACCTCTCATTCTTTCATTTATTCAGAAAGAAAAACTAACCTTCCTGCTTTTGTGTCATAGTTGCAGGACTTGGCTGTTGGTGAGGGCACAGAACTGCCCACAGACATGTCGCAGTGCATGTAGAGCTGCGGTAGGAGAGCAAAGTCAAGATCAGTGAAATACTTCAGAGTCTTTACACTGTGTTTAAACATAAATCTGACAACTTGTAGCCGAGAGGCTGCAGAGAAACTTTGTCTATGACACAGAACTAGAGCATAAAAACAACAGTTTTTCTCCTGGAGGCATCTTTACTCACCTGGTCCGTCATTCCCTTGAACAAGAAGGCATCCACGGTGAATCTCACAGCGTTGTTTTTGTACGGGATGAATCTGGAGTGACCTTCCTTGCTTTCAACCATACACCTTCGTCAGCAGAAAAGATGGCAGCGACATACTTGACATATTTCTCTTTGGATAAATATTAAAAGATACTCGGTTTGTGTGAGTGAGGTTGTTGTTACCCAAAGTTTTTCACGACTGGAAACTGAAGCGTGGAGGTGTGGGACTTATCGGAGGTCACGTAACACAAGTGGACGTACAGTCTCTTGTCCTGGGACATGGACGGAGCCTCGGCCTCAAAGTACATGGGCTTTCCGAGCACGTACTGATCAGACGGAGAAAGTCTTTCCCACTGAGCTGAAAGAAAGACAGAAGAAGTCAGGCAACGAGACCAACGGCAGCTTCAAGACTCTTCCTCATTCATCAAGAGAAAAATTTTAGTCAGAACATGATATGGTTATCAAACTTCTAATTGTATTGAAGATAGTTTTATAAAAGAGTAGGACCAATAGGGATTTTTAAGTAAAACCCTTCAAATATCAATGCATTAGCCAATATAACAATATTTACATACTTTAAAATTTAAGAGTCACACTTTGGTTCACTCATAATAAGTGGCCGCCAATTTTTAATTTCTGATAAGATTTTTTACCATTTCGTGGAGTCAGACTGAATTTCGCTCTGTTCTTCATGGATTTGAAAATCTTGCGCATCTGCATCTTTGGTTTGTAGCCAATCTTGTAGGAGTACTGGTACCTTGACAGTTAAATACAGTGTTCGTGAGATTTTAATAACTTGCTTTGCAGAGAGCTCACTGGTCAGCATCCAGCCTCACCTGTTATAGTAACAAGCCACAGACAGGGTGAAGGGCACGGCTCGTCTGATCGGTCCTTGGAGCTTTGGTGGATCATATCGTAGCGTGTTTAAATAGGCCACCTGGTTGTCAATTATCTGCAAAGAGACATTGAACTTGTTTCTTTTTTTTTTTAAATCTTGAGTCCAAAAATACACTGAAAAAATATATTCACAGTGAAATGCTGAAAAATGACTCTCGATGTCTTTGTGTCTGACATTGCTTTCACCCATTTTGTAAATTGTTTATTTTAGTTATTTTTAAGTAAGATTGGTTTAATTTAAATAGTCTTCGGACAATATAATATATAATATAATTTGAATGACACGAGTCTCGGTTTGCTCTGCACACAAGCAGTCAGAAAAAATGTTTTACTTTAAATCATGACAGAGAACCTGTGGTAGCCTTCAGCTGTCATAAAAAACTCAAAGGGTGTTTAGTGTGTCCAGTCTGGGCTACTGTAAAAAAAAAACATGGCGGCCTCCATAGAGAAGACCCACTCCTGATGTAAATATAAAGTATTTCAATATAAAGAGGAAAGAAAACAACAATTCGCACAATTTGGATGAAACACACTAAAGAAAATATCACTAGGTTTATTTTATATTCAAGTTTAATCTTACAAACTGAACCTTTAAGAGGTTTAATCAGTCCTTATACTTTTACTGGTCACTTCTAACACAAGTATCTCTACTTAGTTAAAAGAATGTGTGTACTTGTACCACCACTGCTGCTGTGTATAGTGTGGGGGCACTAGGCCCCAACAACACATATTAACACCATGCTCATGGAGGCAATACAGTTTAAGTGAGCACAAACCCACAACTATGACTTTTATATATTATATTTAAAAATATATACATTATCTCCAGTGATAGACGATGAGATCTTAGTTCAAACTCACGGTGCGTTTGGTTCCACAAGTGTCGAAGTCGTATTCAAAGTACAGGTGTTCCCGGGTAGAGTTGCTGGTCTCACATGTTCCCAGCCGGAGCTGCGGGTGAGTCTCCCCGGTCCCCAGCAGGCTCCTCTCCACCTGCACATGCATCCTGCTCCCCCAGCACCAGGTCTTCACCGGGTCCTGGGACGCGCTGGGCGGGCTGGTGCCGGGCAGCGCTGCCGGGATCAGGAGCTCCCGCACGGCCTCGGGTAGCGGCTCCTGCCTGGAGCCTCTGGCCGGAGAGAAGTGCTCCTTCTTCACCAGCGGCAGGTTCGAGTCCACGAACACCGGGAGGAAGAGGTATGGCGGCGGCAGGGTCGGTGTCTCCCCGCGGGAAACATCTGCTTTCATCTGGGCTGTTTGATTTGAGGCCTCCGCCCTGGACGTGGCTCCTCCATCAGTGGAGATCAGCAGCGGTAAGAGGACGAACAAAAGGTAAAAACACATTGAATCTTTATTTGTGAATATTTTCAATGGAACTCTGCAGGAGCTTCGTTACTGTTGATGCGATCTAATGTTCGGTGAGATTAACAACACCTGGCGGAACCACGCTGACAAAACGAGCCAATCAGAGAGCAGAACACGCCCCGTGCTGCTGGAAGTCAACCACCGTTTTAACCTGGGTACAATTACACAAATCAGATTTTGAACCTGTATTTGATCATATAATGTTAAAGTAAACGCGCCGAATTAGCTACTCGAAGTGTCTCTTCCTTACGTACCATTGGCTGTATTGTTAACTTTTAGTGAATTGAAGTGACATTGAAGAAAACTTAAAAACGTGACGATTCTCAAGCAAGTTCGGCCATTTTGTTCCTAAGCAGATTTATGGCGTTTATGGAGTGGCCCTCAAAAATAATGATATTCTGGAAATGTAAGTAACACAGACTATACATGTGTATATGTACACACTCAAAGTACATAACACGTTTGTTTATATATTAGTTTCATCATTTCAAAGTAATGGACATGCTCTAAATCTAAGATCTTCTAAATCCAGGCTGGTAATTAAAGACTGACCATGATATGGGGAGTTTAGACTTTGTTTTTAAATCACTGCTTAAAACATATTTTGAAACAAGAGACTTTTAAAACCGGGGTTTTAACAGATCTTGTGTTCTGTCCTGATTTTTCCTATGTATTATTTGTTTGAATATTAAACTACAATCACTTACTTCCTGTTGTTTAACATGCACCTGAAGTGTTTTCCCTCCTCATCATGGGTTGAAACCATCTGAAGAGTAAAAGTTAACCAGCCGAATCGGTTTTATCTTCCAGTTCTGTGGAAGCACTGGTGAAATGGCAGCAGACAAAAACAAAATGGCCCCTTTCAGTAGTATTTTAATGCTCTACTTTTAACAGGTGTTTAATTCATATTTAACCTAGTTTGTTCTACTGTTCCTTTTTCATCCAGTCCAAGTCAAGGGAAGCACATGTGAAACTGATAAGTTTAATTGGGCATTTTTCACTACTTGTCATTTCAGAGACTGAAAAAAGGAATTTATAAAATGAGAAAATCATTTTCCAGTTTCAACTTTGTACTAGTTTGCAATTTGATTTAATTTCTTCAAATGAGACAGACTTGAGAAGTTCACCTGTGTAAATGAAGTTGACCGATCAGTGGAGAGAAGTAGTTTATTTCATCACAGTTTACACTCATCCCAACTCATCCCTCCCAAAACAACCAGGAAGACATGTCTTTAAATGTTGTTAGAAATAAGAAATTTGACTTTGTCCATCTCATATTAATGCAACAAATCTTGGTTTAGCACAGATTAGTGCACAAAATGAAACTGAGTGCAGTGTCAGTCTATCAGAGGTAAGAAAAGTCTCCTCTCCACCTCATATGAGTCAAACTAGTTCTGTTTCACATTGCCTGCACATGTTTCTTTTCCTATTCACCAGACAGAGTATGAAAGAAGTAGTGTGAGTAATGAGCCAGTCCAGTTGTGGGTCGCAGGAGTTGCGGCTCCGTTGCACAGGTGTGTGTTGCAGCATTCATTGGTGAAGGTGAAGTTGAATCCCATGGTGTATTTCTGACCCGTGACTCCGCACAGCGAGGGAAGGACGCAGCTCTTCTCATACAACACCACACGGAAGTGTCCTGAAAGTTCATCAAACAACATGACAGAAAATAAAGCACTCTGGCATGCCTCCCTCTGCACCTTTCTCAGTTCTTCTTCTCAGTTTTGATTCATTTAAATTTGTGTTCAGTGACTTGAGGCGCCCTCACCGTTCTCGCCCACTGCTCTGCTGGACAGACAGAGCTGCCCCGGGGGACACTTCAGAGGGTATCTGATGCAGTCCAGAGGTGAGATGGCCGGGAACACACAGGTGTAACAGAAGAGGGGAACTGAAGGACAGACGTGTTGGTTAGCACCTCAAAATGACCCGGCAATAAAACATTCAAACAGTCCTCTTAAAGTCAATCAAGCTAGAAATTTCACACACTCATAACTGTCACTTCCCTTAGTATACCTGCTCAAACCAAGATCTGTGAGTTATTCCTTGAGAAAATGTTTAAAATGTCCCAAAAAACCGATCCCATCTTGCAACGTTAAAGAAAGTGAAAAACTAAGTCCAGGATGTGTCCCCTGATCTGGATCCACAACCAACTTTAGGTTCTTCCCTGATTCACATCACATCCTTCCGTCAAGTTTCATTCAAATCCACTGAGTAGTTTATGTGTAATCTTCGTTGCAAACACACCGACAGGGGTGAAAACTTAATCACAATATCATTTTCATTTTCAAAAGCAATGTAATAGGAGTTCAATGCAGATTTTGCTTATGCATTGTGCACAGTGAGGAGGTTTAACACATTGTATGTTTTTCTGTTGAATCAAGCGTTATCAACAAATACTTATGTGACATTTATCATGATACTTATCAATATTGACTGATATGAACATTTATAAGTATTATAAATAATCTTATATCACCCAGCTCTCACACAGATGTTAAGCGGTCAAACTGTAACATCTATTGAAAAACAGGCGACAACAACAAGGGTTAACTTTAATTTATAATAGGTGAGCTTAAAAAAACATTATTATTAGTGGTACTGCAATTGTGGAAGTAAATTCATGAACAAATCAGCTGAGTTATAAGTAAATACTGTATAATGGTCTCAGTCATTTTTTAAGCCCAAACATCAAACTGTTGCTGGTTTACCTTGTTTTACATTGTGAACTGTTACTTTGGCCTCAAGGAAACTTTGATCAGCAACTTTCCCTATTTTCTGACCTTTGAGAGTCCAAATATTTAGTCGTTAGAGAAAGTAATTGGCACATAATTCTCATCAATGTTTAAAACTACACTCTCGAGTCGCAGCCCTGATATGAGCTATTATTTCTGCTGGCAACACCTTGCACTTAAATTTGCACACACGGATGTTTTGTTCACTTACCCACAGCTGGCAGTAAACAAAGGAGAAGCAGAGGACAAACCAGCTTCCACATTACTGACTGTTTCTGTCAAATATTCTCACTGCTGGATTCTTCAGCTCTTGACGTCGTCCCCTTGTTTTCTAGAGGAAACCAGCTGTGGTCATCCTGAACAGAAGAATCCCGTCTGAGACTCGTCTCAAAGGCGTGAAGTCGGTTTCCTCTGCGTGTTTAGCTGCAGAGATCTGAAGGTAAATCTCTTCTGGTTTCTTTTGATATTCTGTAAATTAACTACCAAGAATTTCCACAACCCAATATGTATGATTCAATTAGGCTGTTAGCTCCCCAAGGAGAGCCATGATTTGTTTTTCTGCACTCACTGTCCTGGAGAGAATAGCCCCATTCACATTCACCAGAATCAATAGGGCTTTGTTAGGAAACTACACTCTCGTTTAAAATCTGTATAAAATGTGTTATTTCGTGGTCACTAATGCAATGTTTTTTTAATAGAAAGATAAGACACACGGTCTGTGCTGAGGTGAAACGCGGCGGGTTTATTGGATCATGTTTTATTTCTTAATGGAAGACGTTGAGTTTGGTGGGAGGGCTGTCAGGTGACCTGCAGTCCCATGACTCGGCGACTGAGCAGGACAGAGCCACAGCGTTACACTGGGGAAAAAGGGCAGTTTGTCAGTTGATATGTTAAAATAAACTCTCATACTTTAGTTTAATAAGTAAATAGAGGAATGTGATAAAACTGTTAGGGAAGGTAATCATATTAACTCAATAAAAGTACTGTTTCAGGGGGAAGCGATGAAGTTATATGCTCCAGAGTTATTTATAATAAAACTTTAAAATTAAAGAACTTCCTTCATTAGGCTTCCATTGTTATGTGCTTTCTGTAAGGAAATGGTAAAGTCCAGTGTGGCGCTTAGCAGCCTGTGCATACTAGTGATAGTCAATTATTGATTATTATGGACACCACCTGCTGACTGGCTGCAGTATGGGTCATTCACCCCGCCTCCTCCATGTTAATGGATGGGACCTGGAGCAAACTAAAAAGTACTCAAAGATGGTTATCTAATTGAATTCTTATCACATTAATGTTTGTTTCAAGTGTTCATGTTTTCAGGTAGGTTTTGGTTTAATTAGTTCAAACCACGGGTCCATCGCCCAACAGTTACTGTACATGATTGTGTGGCACCTATTGTGATCATGTTTTATTACAGTAAATTGAATTTATTGTGCCAAAATTAACTATTTCAGCGAATGAATCTCGGTATTTATTTTTTTCTGAGGGTTGTTGCACCAGGACAATTAAGATTCTCACAGTCACATAAACAAGACAAACATGATTTAGAAATATGGGACTGAATTTGTTGAAGTTTTCTTGAGTCACTGTTGACAAATCTGCTTATCTCTCGGACAGAGAAGTGCAACGTTTTCCACAGAAGAGTCAGGCTCGTTGTTTTGAAACACTTTAAATACCTATAGCTTGTAATACATGTCAGGGTTTTACTGCACTAAAGGGGACAAAAAATAGGAAATGGCCCCGAACAAAACTATCAAACTAAAGTACACAGGAGTAAATCTACAGCAGCTTCTACTTACTTTTGGCAACATAGTGCAGCTTTTACCTAATATTCTTGCACACAGCTTCCTGTTCTCACCACACATTGAATTAGCTCTACCATCTCTACTCAAACTCGCTGCAGCTCTATTCCACACAAGACAAGTGGACTTGGCCTCTTGATGCCCCCTGCTGGAGCAGAGAAGGCATGGCTCGCTTGTCGACCTGCTGACGCCTCATGCGAATCACGCCTGCGTCCACCCGAGCTGCTTCTCTCTTGCCCTGCAGGTCGTCCAGCAGCTGTAAACAGGCGCAGTGCAGCTTCGCCAGCTCGCCCTCAGAGGACATGAGGCACTGTCTGAGCACTGCACTGCCCTGAGAGACACAGGATACACAGAGGAAATTGTGACCTACAAGTCAGTACCTCTTTATAAAGTAAGAAAAAGGTGGTAGAATTCCAGTCACTGTCACAGTTGAGTCTTTTTGAGATGTTGGAGGAAGTGAGCACCTGTATGAGATGTGCAGCCTCAGGTAACCGAGTCCCCGGGTGTCTCTGATAAACCTGCACCAGAGGCCTGTTGAGTTTCTCTCTGGACAGTGTGTCGCCGCTGGACTCTGGACCCTGTGAACACAATAACACAGAGAAACATCACACCGAGAACAGAGAACTGCAAAGCCCTGTTTCACATGCTCACTAACCTGCGCTCTGCCGTGGCTGTGACGGATACAGTTGATTTCCCTCTGCTTGCGGAACAAGGCCTGCCGGGTGGCTGCACACGCCAAAGTCAGGTTTTGCTACAGAAGACGGAATAAAATGGAAACTATTATTTCGATTTTAAGCTGTTGCTGAGTATTTCTGTATCTTTGCAAAGTGTTTGTACCTGCAGACTGATTGTCTCTGCAATTTTCTTCACTAGGCCATCGTTGACGGTGCAGTGTGCAGCTTTCTGCCTGGCGATGGCGCTGGTCAGCTTCTGTCTGATGGTTTCCCTCAGTAGCTGTGACTGGTTGACTGTCACAGTAGATGACTCTAAGACTTGTTTGCACTCTGCAGGAGGACCAACCAGAGATGAGCCATTTCATTTAATTTTCTTGTTAGACTTAGTTTAGTGATGAGGGTAAGTACGGATTATATATTCTACAGAATTTATACATATTGTTAAATTTGTATCTCTGCATTGAACATATATGTTTAGTAAATAAACTGCAATATAATAATTAAATGCTCCTGCACATTAACAAGACTCTTGTTAATGCTGTGGTTTCCCAGGGAGTTAAAAGCTATCAAAAGTGGAAAGAATTGTAATAATATAAGTAAAATAATTTACAGATAAATGTGCAAACACACATTAAAGTATTGCACTCAACCAAATTAAATTACAAATATTGAATAAAAAGATAAAGATGTAAACAGAGAACTATTCCACATGTTGGATGACATTGCACATACTGAATATAACAGACATGGAGTTGCACTGTAAACAGAGTGTATAATTACCTGGTGTAAAGGGGCTGACTGGGTCTGTTTTGGTGAAGGTCTGAGCGGTGCTGTAACGTCCTGAAGCCGAGCCGCTGTGAGGCAGCAGCTCCAGGACACGAGCTCTCTCCCCGGCACAGTCCAGCAGCCGTCTGCTGCTCTGACCCAGGGCCTGGACCACACATGTTGCAAAATCAGGCATGTTCTTGACATTTTCACAAATTTCCAAGGGAATAATTCATAGATTTCTTTGAAAAATATCATGCATATCCAGGGGACTGAAATCTATTTGGTGCCGCTGTTGGTGGTGGTATGAGCTCTACTGAGTTCCATTCTAGTTTCCCAATTGTTTGATTACTTTCTATAAAATGTCAACTGAGCCACAACATCTTCAAATGTCTTCTTCTGTCTGAACAATCCATGCTACATAAAAAAACAAATATAACCTGATGAAGAGATCAGTGTGGAGGTTATTTGTGTGTGGAGGCTTCAGCAGTGTTGTTATTCTTGCATTATCCATGTCTCTAAATCACATGGAGGTTCTAGTGTCATTGGAGAGAACAGGAGGAAACAGAGACAGACTGTGGGGGAGGAAAACGAGTCGGTCGATGAAGACAGGACAGTCACACTCTGAATCACCTGTAGCTGGGTCAGTGCATTCCTCAGCGCTGCCTCCAGATCTTGTTTCAGCTCCACCAGCTCTCTTCTCTCACACAGCAGCAAGTAATCAGCACCGTCTCTCTCCTGCAACAGAGCAGAGCTGTCGCCAAACTCAACTAATAAATCCTCAGTCTCCTCTTCCACTCACATGTGGATTAAGATTTAATAGCTGGGAAAATACTTCATATATTTCACAGTCATAACTAAAGAGGATTTTTGAAATGATGAGATATTTGCTTCACTTTGATCATCAACTTTATTTCTTATCTTTGTAAACTCACCGTCTCAGCAGCGGCTGGTCTCCTCTTCCTCCCTTCAGAGCTCTTCCTGTTGACGGTCAGATTGGTGCTGATGCTGCGTAGCATCCTCTCCAGGTGACCCCTCTCCCGCTCCAACTTGACCCCCTCCTGGGTGACCCTGCCGGCCTGCCTTCGCAGCTGGCCCTCCACCTCCCGCACCCTGCGCATGTACTCACAGGCCACAGCGCCGCTGACCCCGGCACACTGCTCACGCAAGCTGCTGGGCGGAAACGGGGCCACACGTGTCCTCAGGGACGAACTGGGGAACTTGAGAGAAAATCTGAATAAATTCCAAATATAAGTATTGAAGTGGTGCCTAATCTATAAAAAGTTAAAGTGATCTGGTGAGTTAGATTATGATTTGTTGCAGATTCCACTGCTGAACCTTTAAAACCACTGAAATATTTTACACATGTAGTAATGATCAAATAAACCATGGAGCCGCACTTTATGAATACTTTAACTTATGTACTCTAACTGTATTTTTCTGATAATTATGTAGATAACTTGTATTAAGAGTAAATTTACTGGACGAAATACTTTGAATACTTAAATAATTATTGTTTCACAGGCAGATTTACAAGTTGATTTCATCTTATAATAAAATCGTGTCTCCCTGTTAGAATTACAGATGTTCCTTCTTCCTGTTTTGTTTTGGCACAGACACAGAACAGAGTAACTACAGTGATGCCTACAGATGCACCAGGGATCCATTCAGGGATCTGACCTCTGACCTACATTATCTTCATGAAAATACAAATAGTTTTTTATTGTCTGCAGATGTTAACTTGTATTATAAGATCCATGCTGTTCCATGTGAGTGTCAGACTTTATCTGTCCGACCAAATAATCTATTATGTTGTTATTCAATTAAATGTATTTGCATCTCACCCAATAAAGGGGGAGACTTCACAGTGTTATGGAGAAACTCAACCCCTGTGTCTCGTCACTTATCGCTGTGCTTCTGTGTTCTCCTCACCGTGCCTCCTGTAGTTTGGGGCCTGGACATCTTGATTTTGCAGTCACGACTCTCTGCTCCACTTTCCTCCTCTGTCATCTTATCGTCTCTGGTTGTTTCCGCTGTGCGCCTCGCGGTGAACCCGGCGCTGCTGCCCCGGGTCCGGCTGCGAGTCGCCGCCGACCTCCCTGCTCGAGTCTCCCGCACCAGGCGCTCTGCACACCGGATGGAGCGAACCGTCCCATCGCGCCAAGACAGCGGGCCGATGGTGACCGAGCCGAGGGGAACCGACTGCACCTGCATCCCCTGACTTCCACAATGAGTTGCCCAGCAGCTGTTTCAGCGTGAATCATACAAACATCTGGAGAGAACCATCTGTCCCAACGTGAAGGATCCAGAGTCACAACTGTGTCATCTCCATAGTAACAGTTCCTTAAGTAACCAGGAAGTAATCAGGAAGTAACCAGAAACTCAAAGCTGATTGGACAGTGAGGAGAAGTCACCCAACACTTTTCAAAACTAATTTCCCCAAAGGACAAAGTTGAACATCTGACAACTGGAGAAGATTTTAAAGTGAACAACCAGAACATCAGGATCAAACTCTCCGGGTTCGAATTATCAGTAACAACATATTTATCTTTTTTTAAATTATGATCTATTATTATTTATCAATTATTTGGCTACAAGAGATAAACAACTTCTTTCTGCCCTCAGGTCACATGCCTCTGTCAAACAATCAGAAAAAAGGACGTGGTGTGATGACATCATTGATTTATGTCATAAAACAAAGTCCAACATGTAGTTAAGATGTTAAAAAATGTTCTATAACACAATGTTTAAGAAAATGAAAAGAAATTCATAGACCCGCCTCTTAATGTGTATCTGCACCATGTGAAGTTCCTCCCAAACACAGGCCCCGTCCCTCTACCAAGTTTGGTGGAAAGTGGTGGTTTAGTAGTTTTTGCGTAATCCTGGCCAGCCGGACCATTTACTGCACACCATCCCCCTACTCTCTCAAACTGTTTCCTGATGTAATATGATCAGAAGTGAGGATCATTACATGAATCCTGCTTCAGTAAAATTTCATTTAAAACACATGTAACTTTTACTGAGCAGCAGCGCCCTCTACAGCCACATGTGGTGATACATTCTGTTGGGCCCTGTCTGTGGAGCTCTGACAGTTTTGTCCCATTCATTGATGTGATACACAACAGTGGATATTACCCATGATCCCCGGCCTCCTGAACCAGAGAACCTGCTGCTGTAACAAATCCACCAAACTCTGTTTAGAATTCTTCATATTTTAAACGTTTCCTGCTGAATATTGGAGATAAACTCTGGTTTTTAATAACTTCTGACTCTTTTTAACTGATCTACAGTTCAGCTTCACTCTTCAACCTGCTGGAGCTGATTCTGACAAGTGAAGCTGAGACTCTCAGTCAGTTCCACTCTTCTCACAGGAGATCACACCCACTCAATAAAGTTACAGAGAGCAAGACAGACGTTCACAGAGTGGGAATGAATGAGGAAACATTCTCCATATTCACAGTCACTGAACCAACTCATCTTAATGAGGCTGCTTATCTAAGGTTGAAAAATAAGTGGCATAGTTTTGCTTTAGACAAACATTTGAAAGGTCATATATTCAACACCACGCGCCCACACTGGACAATGAAATAACAGCTTCTACAAACATAAGTAACTTGGATCAGAGTTTAATTCTCATGAGCTAAAAGAAAGAAAACAGCATTTGTCCCGGACAAACAATACAAGACATATAATCACTGAGGTGAATAGAGAACAGGAACTAAATAAAATTAAAATAAAGAGACAAATATAAAAGGGGAAACTGAAAGTGATTAAAAATATAATTTTGGTTGTAAGTATTCCCCTCCATGAGAAACAAACCAGCACTGTAAACAATAATAATTGGCAGATCTGTACCAAGAGCTTTACAGAATAAGATACGATTTAAAGCAGTAACATACCCACTCCTGTCCTACAGGAAATAATGAGTCACTCAGATCCTCAGATAATCAAACTTCTCAGAAATGTTTCTGCAACAGTCACACCGCATGAAATGGAATGTAATCACTGTCGTACCATTGAATCATTAAAAAAATAACTACATACAGTACTCTGGTATTATAAATCAAGTATTAAACATCCAGCTGTGAGAAGCTGCACCCGACACATCTCCAACAATCAGCCTGTGTCTCACGCTCTGAGTCTGAAGTTGCTGTTTCACACCAGAGAGTTTAGTAGTAATTGTGGAAAACGAAACTTTCCTTCGTGCCATGGCAGAGCAGGGCAGGTCTGCAAAGTGCAAACCTCAAAAATTTATAAATAGACTTAATGTGCACCACGATAAATATGAGGAGGCAAAAAGGTGGTGCAAAAAGTGCAAATTTTTCCTCCAACGTATGTGCAGTAGGTTTGCATCTCGTCGTTTCAACACCTCCGTCACAGTGTGTGTTTGATGGCTGTCAGAGGGTTACGTTTGTTCTGCAGGTTCTGCTGCAGCTCTCTGAACACATGGTCCCGCTCCTCAGCGTCCAACAGGATCTGCTGCAATGAAGAAAAAAATAAAAGATCTCGATCAGTAACCATCACAAATATTAACAATGAACGACCGAGGGGTTCAATAAAGTGGTTTTAATTCTGAGACCTGGTATTAACATATTTCTCTGTAAATCTGTTTTCTGGTAGTCCGTAAAATTAGTTCTAAACATATTGCGGAGTTCATCTTTCTCATATGAAGAACGCAGCACGAGATTGTCCGTCACAGTTTCTTATCGTCTAAAATGCCGTCATCAAAGATCTTAATTTGTCAAGATGTGAGTTCAAAACCCATAGATGTCCAGTTCACAGTGATTTAAATAGAATATAAATAAAATGAATGAAAATCTTTACCTCTATGAGTTTGTCTCTCTTGTCCAGACTGTCCCTCAGTTTCCTCTCCTGTCTGTCTCCGTCCTCTCGGACGTTCTGCCAGGCTCGCTCAGCCTCCTTCTTCTTCTTCTCCTTCTCCCTCAGCTCCCGCCGGGCGTCCCTGAGTTCACCCGTTAGAGAAGACACCGTCTGACTGTAGCTCTCCTGTTGATTCTGGTGACGACACAAAAAAAGAGAGCCTGAGATTTGTTGTTTGTCATTCGGGGAAATAAGAAGATTGAAGGTGAAGGTGATCTTTTGTTTTCTCTTCGATGTTCAAATCATCTCCTCATGCCAATATCTCACCTGCACCATGTCCTGGTATTCCTGCAGGGCTGTGGTGAGTTTAGTGACTTCCTGACACAAGATGGCGCTGTTTTCCACTCTGTCTTTCAACAAGGCTGCTTGCCCATCTCCGCCCCCTGCCATCTCCTGACCATTCGCAGAGTCGGAACGAGCCTGGAGGAAAATGACAGGTTGTGAGTAAGAGTTTCCCTGAGGTCAGCGAGGTCAGTATTTACTTATATGACTGCCAGAGACTCAAAGTACTGAGGAGCAGAGAACAAGCTCCTCACTCAACAACACAGAGAATGAAAGTGTTCTTTAAAAGAGCTGAATACGTTCACTCACAATTTATAAATACACATACATACAGATCCACTGTTGAAATTGCTGTTGTGTCCACATTCCCATACTGCCCCTACCTGCCCCCCTTCAGTTCATGTGCACCCTGCCGACATTGTTACAAGTACGCCCCCTGTGTACATACTGTATATTACCTGCACGTTTTTCTGACGGCCCTCCAGCTCCTCTTTGAGGCAGCGGATCAGATCCTCTTTCTCCTGCTGGACGGCAGCGAGGGCCTGGTCCCTCTGTCTCCACACCTCCCTCTCTTTCTGAACCTCCTTCAGCAGACACTCCTTCTCCCCCAGAGACACTTTCAAGTCCTAGAGTGAGTGAGCACAAAAAAATGCAGGTGTAAACAAAACTTCCAGCTTGAGGACAAAGTACAAATGTCCACAGTGCCTGAATGTATAGGACGAATGTGGGACTGCGTGTTCTGAACCAGAATGCACATTGTGCGTGTGTTTTACATTGATAATGTCCTGGTTGCACTGAAGCACAGTGTTGAGTGTGTCGAGGTCTCTCTCTCGGTCTCTCCCGGCCTTCCTCAGTGAATCGATCTCCTCCTGCATGCTCTTCTCTTTCTCCGTCGTTTCAGACCTCAGAGTCTTCAGGGCAGCCTGCAGAGCACAGAACATGAGACACCTCCGTCACATTTAAAAACAACATCTCTTTATCAGATCGAACATGAAGATTTTCCAGTGTGAAATCTGGGCCGTACTTTTTCCACAGAGCTAAATGGAATCGCTGACATGCTGGACTGGTTGAACTGGCCTGAGGTTAAAAAATGAAAATAAATATAATGGTCACAAGACCTGCACTGAAACACAAAATCCTTCAGGGACAGAACGACCGAGTCTGATGATTTGCTTATAATTCATGGTGGCTCTCTGTATATATACAGTGACCTTATATAACGACTGTTATGAATTAGCCTCGTATAAAAGTCTTATGTAAAAGATCAATGTCGACTCTCACCTTGTTTTCAGAGAGAATTTCCTTCAGATTCTCAGTCAGTTTCTCAGTCAGCTTGTTGGCCAGCTCAGCGCCTGCTCCCTCCTCCACACACAGTCTTCTGATCAGACCCATACACTCCTGGAGGAGAGGAAACATGTGTCTGCTCAGTGCAAAATATAAATGTAGAAGCAGCAGCACAGTTAATCTAGAGCAGTTAATCTGATCTGGACTCTTTATGCAGGTTTTTAAGATGTAAAGTCAAGATTTTGAAGCCATTTCTTGAATCAATACACTCGGCCATAATAAACACAACTGTCTCTCTGTACAGATTCAGGAAAAAGCTAAAGGGAATTAAAACTCTTTGTTCTTTCACTATAAAGATTTAGGACAGTAGCTTTCTTCTTATTAGCATTAAATTCGTATCTAAATGAAGATTCACTGCATTTTAACAGCTCAAACTAATATTAGCGTATAGTAAAACAATTCCTGCTGTGAATCAACATGCAGCTAAAAATAATGTCAGGAGCGATAAGAGCTAAAGAAAACACACGTCATTGTCGCTGGTACAATTTGATGAACAACGTGAATGCAGTTTTGGCACTGCTGCTTTAAGGGCGGGCAGCGACCTCAAAGACAAACAACATTCCAGTGAGCTTTGAGCCAGAGCCAGAGCGGTGGCAGAAGATCTCACTGCCTCGTGCATGAATGATTCCTGTCTCCCCTCATCACCTCACCCACCTGGATCAGACGCTCCCGGCTCTGCAGGGAGTGACCGAGGCTCTGCAGCAGGGAACTGTCGTCGCCCCCCTCCTGAACCAGCTGGAGGAAAGAGGAGATGAAATCTGTTTACTACCTGCTCCACACCAAACATGAGACACTGTGAGAGACGAGCTGGTGA